TCAGTATTAAACACCCTATGAGAAGGAGGACCTTGTGGGGATTATCCACTGCACGTGAGTTTTAGTGTTCTCAGCTCTACAAGTGGAAAACTTCATGGCAGAGAAGAAGCCTGATCTCTGATTCAGGGCTATCAGGTTCTGAGGTTCCCTTCCTCTTCACTGGCCCGTCAATGGCCACAGACCATTGAGCTTTTCATTGCTTGAGCTTCCTTTCACCGAGCTCCTCAGTATGTCTGCATCCAGCTGTCCTGAATCCATGACTGACTTGTGTAACCAACTCCCACCCAGCAGCTCTGTGTCTCCAGGCTCCCTGACCTGTGATTCTTACTTGTTTTCAGGGCCCCAGTAGAGGTTGGTACAAGATGGAACATGGGTATAGTCTTCTAAGATGCAGAGCTCCCCCAGATAGATCTCTTCTCCCACTCTGACTTGTTGCACAGTTGTCACCTTGGATTTAAGGATTTTAGTCAGTAATGATTTTCAGGCTCTTTCCTAAACAGGGCCAACTGGCTTACCAAATGAGTCTTCAGTTCCCTCCTGATCCCCTAGGAATCTGTGATCTCTTCTGTGATTTCTGATGCCCTTACTCTTTCTCTTTCTTCAGTATAATCTTTATCATTTGTTTTCCTGACTTTTCTTTATCCTGGTATTACCCGAAGGCTGCATATAACTCAAAGTCTTGGCAAACCTCCTTAGAATGAGCAAGTTTGTAGACGAGAAATTGCTTTATTTGTCATCAGTTAACATGGCTAGTGTTGAAAGAGAAAGCATCATTCTGTGACATTTCTGGTGCAAATCTACAACTTGCATCCTGTAGAAGCTGTGGTCCAGTTTGCAGGATTGTTAAAATAACAAGACTAGGGGCTGGAGAGATGGCTCAGTGGTTCAAAACACTGGTTGTTCTTGCAGAAGACCCGGGTTCGCATCCCAGCACCCTCATGGCAGCTAACAACTGTCCATAACTCCAGTTTCAGAGGATCCAACAGCTTCTTCTGGCCTCTGGGGGCATTGCATGACACAGGTGCACTTACCTACATGCAGGCAATAGGTACATACACATAAAATAAAAATAATAAATAATAAATATTAAAAAAATAACAAGACTAAAAATGAAAGATTATGAAACTATGTTGGAATTAGAAGGAGCTAAGTAGATATGGCACATAAATGCAATATTGTGATGGAGAGCATTATTTTACTAAACAAATGTTATTGAAATATTGCTGAAATTAGCCTGTGGACTATAGAACAATGTTTAAATTCCAATTTTGTGATTGTGATGAGTATATAGTGGTTATGGAGGAAAATGATCTTGTTTCTAAGAAACACAATAAAGAACTCAGCATTTATGAGACATTGTGCCATCAACTTACCCTCAAATGGTCAACAAAAATATTATTTGTAGTGTTGAAAATGACAGGGCTTTAATAAGCTGAGATCACTTTAGCCTAGAATTTTATTGTGTTAAATACAATTAGAGAAAGCAAAATAATGTAGAGAAGTTTAGATTTGAAATGACTAGGAAAATTCATGAGGCGTGTAAAAAAGACTTGTAGAAAGCTTTTTCACATATTATTTCTGTACCCCTGGCATTTGATCATGGTGTGCTGAATTGTAGGAAAAGATGCATTACACTATAGTAACTGGAAAACAAATAAAGCAAAAAAGTCTAATGAAAATGTTCATTTGTAAATTTAAAGCAAAAAGAAACTTACTTCTGGAAAGGATTGAGCCCTTCTGTAAATAGAGACCAATAACAACTTTTTACTTGAAAACATTTTCCAAGACTTTTCTCAGTGGAGGGAAGAAAGGCTTGAAATAGACAGGGAGACTTTGACTGAGTGGGAGACATCAGTACAGTTTTTTAACAGTCTGTTGGAAAGATGCCTAGTTTGGGACCCATGGATCCCAAAATGTAGTTATCATTCTCTTGTTCACAAGCATTCTTTGTGAATAGTCACTAAGTACACAACAAATGACATTTAGCCTGAAAATCCAACAATAATTCATGGGCAAAAGTCATAGAGAACTTAGGTATACAGGCAACATATATTAACATAATAAAGGCAATATACCACAAGCCCACAGCCAACATCATACTAAGTGGAGAAGAACTGAAAGCATTCCCATTAGAATCAGGAACAAGACAAGGATGTCCGTACTCTCCATTCCTATTTAATATAGGACTCGAGGTCTTAGCAAGAACAATAGGACAAAGGAGATAAAGGGGATACAAACTGGAAAGGATAAAGTCAAGATGCTTTTAATTGGAAAATATGATTCTATACACAAAGGATACTACTGACTCCACCAGAAAACTTCTAGAGATGATAAACACATTCAGCAAAGTAGCAGGATATAAAATTAATACCCCCAAATCAGTAACCTTCCTACACACCACCAAAAACATACTGAGAAAGAAATCTGGGCAATGACCCCATTTGCAATAGTCTCAAAATCCATAAAACATCTTGGACTAAGTCTAAAAAAGAAAGTGAAAGACCTGTATAATAGAAACGTTAAGACACTGAAAAAACAAATTGAAGAAGATACCAGAAGATAGAAAGACCTCCCATGTTCATGGATTGGAAGGATTAATATTGTGAAAAGAGCTGGCTTCCCAAAAGAAACCTACAAATTCAATGCAATACCCATTAAAATTCCTACACAGTTCTTTGAAGAAATTGAAAAGAAAAATCTCAAATTTAATGTGGAAACACAAAAACCCCAGCATAGCCAATATAATCCTGGACAATAAAAGAACTGTTGGAGGGATTATCATCCCTGATCACGAATTATACTACAGAGCTAAAGTAATAAAAACAGCATCATGCTGGCACAAAAACAGACACATTGATCAGTAAAATAGAATTGAAGACCCAGATTTAAATACACACACACACACACACACATATATTTGGGGGGTCTTTTTGAGACAGGGTCTCCCTGTAACCCCAGCTGTCCTGGAACTCATTATGTAGACCAGGCTGGCTCACAGAGATCTACCTGCCTCTGCCTCCCGAGTGCTGGGATTAAAGGCTTATGCCTAAAGCCACCTGATTTTCACAAAGGAGCCAAAAATACCCACAGAAGAAAAGACAGCATGTTCAACAAATGACGCTGGTCAAACTGGATAGCAACGTGTTGAAGAATGAAAATGACCTCTCACCATGCGCAAAACTCAACTCCAAGTGGATCAAGAACTTCAACACAAGACCCAATACCCTGAATCAGATAGAGGAGAAAGTAGGGAATACATTGGAACTTTTAGGCAGAGAAAAGGACTATCATGCAAGCTTTAGGTCTAACAACTGACAAATGGGACCAAATGAAACAAAAAAGCTTCTGTACAACAAAGCACATCATCATTTGAGTGAAGAGGCAACCTACAGAATGAAAAAAAAAAAAAAAAAACCTTTACCAGCTATCCAGAGGATTAGCACCTAGAATATACAAAAAACTAAAAAACGAAATACCAAAAATATCCAACATAATTAAAAAGTGGGGCAAGGAGCTGAACAGAGAGTTCTATAAAGATGAAATAGAAATGGCTGAGAAACACTTACAAATGTTCAGCATTTTTAGTTGTCAGGGAAATGCAGATTAAAATTTCTTTGAGATTTCATCTTACCCCTCTCAGAATGACAAAGATCCCCAAAACAAACACTGACAAATGCTGGTGAGGATATGGAGGAAGGGGAACTCTTATGCTCTGCTAGTGGGAGTGCAAACTGGTGCAGTCACTCTGGAAATCGATGCGGACTGTGGAGATTCCTCAAAAAGCTTGAAATTGATTTACCAGATGACCCAGCCATATGACTCTTGGGCATATACCCCAAAGACTCTATACCTTATTACAGAAATACCTGTTCATCCATGTTCATTGCTACCTTTTTCATAATAGCCAGAAATTGGGAACAATCTAGATGTTCATCAGCTGATGAATGAGTAATAAAGGTGTAGTACATATACAAAATGGCATATTATTCAGCGTTTTAAAAAAGGAAATTGTGAAATTATAGGTAAATGGATGGAGCTGAGTGAGGTAACCCAGACTCAGAAAGACACGTGTCACATGTTCTGTCTCATAGCTGAATGTTAGATTTGAAATCCTAGTTATGCAAGCTTCAGTTAAGAAATTCAGAGAAGTCAAGAAAGTAATAAATGGTCATTGGTTGGTGGGGTGGAGAGGCTTTCTGGGAGGGGTGGTAGAATATAGTGATATGAATGGGGGAAGGTGGAACATTAGACTAGGAAGGGTTAAACAGGGTGGGGAATTGGAGGGCAGGGCAGAGGAGGGAGTATAGGAAGGAATAAATGACATTAAAGGTCTTCAGAAAAAGCCATATGGAAACATACGAATACAGAATCTTCTTAGAGTATATACATATACATCACAAAAGAGATTAAAAGGAGTTATCTTATAACAGGGGGATATTGCCCTTTCTAGACATCATAGGCTAATGGAAAAAGAAACCCTCAATGCCAGGAATGGGCTCCCTCTGGAGAAGTTGTTGACCATGGGTCCTATAGCCCCTCAGACAATACTGGCCATTGTCCCTGCTCTTGGTTACCCACCAGAATTCAATGGTAAGACCCTGTTGCTGAAGACACTAGATACATGAGTTGTGGAACAAACAAGGGGAAATCAAGCTGGTGCTGACCTCAGAGTCTCATCTCTACTGGCTGGTGTTCACAGTGTTAGATGGTGCTATGCAAACTACTGGAAGAAAATAATAATGATCAACCTTACCCAGCAGTAAATCCTGCAAACTACAATAACTGGCCTGGCAAGATATTCCCACTGGTGCAATGGTGGCACAAATATTATGGGGGCAACCAATCACTCTTTAATTGGATTTAAGTTCTGCTTCCTAGATTGAACCCATACCTGTCATTGCATCCTGGGTTGTTATTTACATCCATCATGTACTGGTAACCTGTGTGGGTCCAGTGAGAAAGAACACACTCATACACAACAAGTTAAGTGAAATGGCTTTATTATTTGCATATAGGTAGTAAAGAACTGAAGTTTCAGATCCATTGTGAACACTATGTCTTGAGCTAAGGGCCCTGAGAGCTTCCCCAGTGAAGATGGAGATGTTGCTGAGTATGACCCATTTGGACCACAGGTGATGGACACTGAAAGGCTGCCTGTCTTGGATTATACATCTCCAGGGCTGGGGAACATACTGGAAAAAGATTTAGAGGATCTCCCAGTTTTAGAGGAAACATTCATATAGCAGTGGAATGTTGAGAGGTGATAGGTGACTGGCAAAGGAGGAAAGGAATGGAGGAAGGTTAGAAAAGGAAGAGGACTGATGCTATAATGTGCCACTGACATAAATCTTGTCAGCAATAGTAATGGCCGTATTGGAGCTAGGAATGCCACAGAGACCAGCACATTTATTATGTCTTTTGTCTATTATGTCTTGTGAAAATGTGTGAGGACGTACTTTAAATGCCAAGAACATCAGGACTGAGTCTGAAATGGGCACTGTCAGAGGAAGTGACCATGCATCTACAGAGCATGTCCATCATCTACTCTGCCACTATTTCTGTTTAACAATGTGGTGATTCATGGGATGTTTAGTTAAATATATTTGTGAATTTTTAGTTGAAGTTTTTCTGGTCTAGCTCAATTATCTAAGCTAATAAGAAGCTCTATAATGGTTCTGTTTTAAATATTAGTGTGTAGAGGCAGGCCTCTTGGTGAAGTGAAGATGATCATTCTGGTAATAGGAAAAAAAAAATCCACTGAAGTCATTATCCCCTGCTCAGAGAGAGCCAAGCTGAAGGGACCTAGAAGGATGATATGGGTTTTGAGGGACTGAGAGGGCAGAAAAGGAATGTAGGTAGAGAACACAGGATGAGAAGCACAGGTGACCTTCTAGAATGAGGTCCTGGGAGTCTGCAGTATCTTAGAGTCTGACGTTACAGTAATCGTGATGGCAGCATTTATGAACGTAAGTCCGATTGTGGAAGCTGTACGACAATTTCTTGCAGAACCTCTGACACACCATGTAAGAGATCTGGAGAGAGTTATCTGTAACAGGAAAGAATGAAAGTAAACAGGAGGGATCGAAGTTCCCCAAGGCAGGCCCTGCCCTCCAGACAGACTTAGGATGACGTTCCAACTTCTGCTTCCCAAGAGCAGCAGTGTAGATATCACAGGCAAGTTGTAGGGTTGGCTTGCTCACCTGTCGTCCCTGACAACTCAATGCTATGTATTTGATTCATTCCTCCCCTGCTAGAAAATGCTTTTGTGTCTTCAAAGTAAAATTCTGTCTGGTGGTATTTATCCTGCCCATATCTAATGTCTGCACTACCTGTGCTCAGAGCATTCTGAACTTATGGTCTCTGTCTGAGTTGTGAAACTGCTGAAGCACTCTCCTAAGATCTCTTAAGGTTCTCATAGGACTGCTCCCAACCCTCTGGCTTACTGTAGTAGATCCTCAGGCTCATGCATGCTTCATACTTCTGAGCAAGGCAAATACCAAAGCCCCTTCTGCAGTGGTCTGATGGTGTATGAAGATGGCATGTTACACACTTCAGTGATGCAGCTGCTGAGAACGAACACAGGGTTTGGTGTGAGGGCAGGGACTTGGGATGGAGCTAGAGGTGTCAGACTGGGGGAGGAGAGGACTCTTCCTGGGGTGGGTAGGTGATTGAACAACTGATGATACAGTGTTTAGGTGGTGAATGGTTGAACCTTTTTTTTTTTTTTTTTTTTTTTTTACTAACTCTTCGGGCTTCAGTGACAGAAAGAAAAGGCCATTAAGCAAATAAAAGAAATATGGTCTCAATTGCAATCTTTTCATTTAGATAACTTTCTTTCACTGTCCTAAGGCTGCCAGTTTGGCTAACCTGACTGGCCAGTGAGCCTCAGGGATCTGCCTGTCTGCTTCCTTAGCAGCGGGATTACAAACACATACCATAATACCTGACTTTGTTTAACAGGGGTTTTGGGGATCAAACTCAGATTCTCATGCTTGGACAGCAAGTACTTTACCAACTAAGCCACTTCCCCAGCTCTTTTTCTGAGTAATGATTTAACATGCATGTAGTTAATTTCTCTAGCTTAAAAATAATGTTATTAACAGTGACCTGACTGATTTGACGGGGCTGTAGAGAGATAGTATGCGGATGAACACTTTAAAACATTTTCAAACAAGTTGGTATTGCTGAGATGGGATTTCTGAATTTGTATTGTTTTGCATTGCAAATTGTTGCATAGATATTTTTAGCTAATATGTTGTATTTTGAGCTGCAAAGGAATGATAAATAAGGCCTCATGAATTGCAGAATAATATGTTTAGAAGGCTCTGGAGGAGTGACAAATTGAAATACAGGTTCAATTTAAAAAATGTCATCTTGGGCTGGTAAGTTGGCTCAGCAGGTCAAGGCTCGCTGTCAAGCCCGATTGGCTTCAGTCAGGACCCATACGGTAGAAGAAAAAACTGACTTCTAAAAGTTGTTCTCTGACCACATATACTCTGGGCATGTTCTCTCTCTCTCCTCTCTCTCTCTCTCTCTCTCTCTCTCTCTCTCTCTCACACACACACTCACATACTGAATAAAGTGTTTAAAATAAGTATGTTTCCCTAGTGCTAAAGTGAGATTGGAATGGGGCATTTATTGGTTTGGGCTGTGTTGTCTCAAACTGTATCTGATGTAATGTTCAAAAATCCTGACAAACAGGCTTTGTCTCCACTTGTCATATTAGAGAATTTAGATCAATGACTGAATCATTTTTGAAAAATTTGTCAGATTCTAGGGCCTCCAGAATTTCTTCTAAACACCTGTAAGAAAGATCCCCGGAATGAGTAGCCAATGTGGAGGACTAAAATAAACTGCAAAATAATTCATTATTGACTGACCAGCTCCCGCAAATGGACACAAATTTATTAACAGAATAGATGTCCTTGCTAGGGTTTTTGATCAGAGGAAGAAGGGGAAACAATATAGAGGACTATACACCCAGAGGGAAGTGGCAGAGTGCTGAAAAGTCAGAAAAGACGGTAGGGAAGGCAAAGGGACAATTCGGAAGGCTCTCTATCCTCCCTCACACATGTGGGCAAAGCTAAGCCCACACGAACAGAGTTGTGCAGGTGGAGATGCCCTGGGATTCCCTTGATCTAGTCTCTGGACCTCACTTCCCAGGTCTGGGACTCACCCACAATGAGGCAGAAGAGGGAGAAGAAGAACAGGAAGTGTTTGTTCATTCTGACCCAGATGTCTTGTGCGTGAGAAAAGAAACCAAGCGTTACCCAAGTCTGTAGTCTGCTGGGAAGAAGCCTCCACCAGCAGGCTGTTTATGCCTAAGGGGAATTTGTCACACAAGGTTTATTTTGAGAGCTGTTAGCCATTGGCTGTGTTTGCCATAGTGAAGTAAACAGAAGATAGAAATTGGCTGGGCACAGGGCTAGAGAGATAGCTCAGCAGTTAAGAGCACTGGCTGCTCTTCCAGAGGACCTGGAATCAATTTCTGGAAGCTTTTTCCTCTTTTAGTTTTTTTGATATAGTATTTCATGTAACACAGTCCACTCTTGAACTCAATATGATAGTCTGTCAAGGCCTTCAACTCCTGATCCATCTGCTTTCATGTCCTAAGTGTTGGGATTATTGGTGTGCACCACAACCAGTGGGAATTTCTTTGTATACTGGGAAATTAGCCCATAGTCTATGGATGAGTTTCAAATTTTTTTTAACTTTTTTGTTATTTGTACTTTGCTAATGAGTAACTGGTTAATTCCTCCAGTTCTACAGAAAAAAATTAGAATGTATCCAGGCATATCAACCTTAGTTTTTCTAATTCTCTGCTTTTAGTCATATATAGAAAGACAGTCTCTCACCTTAAACTATAATAGCTCCTTCAATTTTATTATGGCTGTTTTTTTCTTTTTACAATCAAGGTGGTCCAAAAGGCCAGTATATTGGAACTGGTTTACATTTATTTTTTATGTAGCTATGTATATTTCTGTGTAGGTATGCATATTTTACTTTGAAGTATAAAAATATGTACAAGTTTACTGTTTTTGGATCCTAGCTAAATAGTAGAAAGAATCTAATACTTGCATCCTTTTTATAGTTTGAAATCTGATAATCATGGTTGCTCTGTGGAGAATGGACTGGATGGACATAGGAGCTACTGTGAGAAGACTATCATGAATTCATCTCACATGTATTTGTTTGTTTTCTATATTAAACGCCTCTTGTTGCTAAATAAAACAAAACTCTTGCTTTATTTGTAGTTGAGAAGCAAAGGTGTGAACAAATAGATATGTCCGATCAGGTAGTGAGATTCCATTTTTCAGAGACTAATGAGATAATGTTGCTGTGTCTGAGGGGTGGTGGCGTCTGAATAGGGGCCTTAGCAAGTAAGGAAAAGACATTGGAGAGGCAGCCATTGTTAAGACTGGGGAAAGCTCTGTCAGTTCTAAGAGCTTTTTAAAAAAAGTTATTTAAAATTACACACATTGCCTGCATGTATGTAAGTGTACCATGTGAATGAAATGCCCTGCAGAAGCCAGAAAAGGGTGTCAGATCCCCTGGAACTGGAGTTACAGACGGTTGTTAGCAGCCATGTGGGTGCTGAGAATTGAACCTGGATTCTTTAGAAGAATAGCAAGTGTTCTTAATCACTGAGCCATCTCTTGAGCCCCAGCCCTAAGAGCTTTGAATTGTCTCCTAAATGTGCTGAGAATCATTGGAGGGTTTTGGGCACAGCATAGCACCTTTGACTTAGAAAGGATTCACTGGATTCTACCTGGAGAAATCACTGTGAATGGACAAGAGTAAAAACAAGGAAGTCAGAAAATAAAGGTATTGGTTGGTCCAGATAATGATAATATAGATCATGGTAATAGCAGTGGAGACAGAAAAATGTATACAGGTTGAAAGGAAGTCAGTAGGCAGGAAGGGTGAGCTTTGCTGTCAGACTCTTCTTTAAGACGATGGGAACTGTGAAATACAACTGCAAGATTTATTAGAATCCGAAGTCCTGAAGTAGCATCAGTCTTTGTGAATCAAAAAGATTACACTTTTACTTTCCTTTGAAGATTTAGTACTGTGATGAGGGGGTCAGACATGATAACTTGGCCCTGGGAACATGGAGATACTGTCTGTCCTGGAAAGTTTATAGTTGTATAATTTACATAACGAGCCCAAGGACAGGTCATCCTCTCCTCTCAAGCAGGAAAACAACAGGGCAGAACCTTCCACAGGAAGCCACCCATAACAAGGGTTTTAAGATGTTGTTTCTACTGGGGACATTTATTTTGTTCTGTCCATCTTGGTGTAAGTTCTGGGGATAAAGAGGCAGTTGGTGGTCACTTAAGAGGTGGTTGGATGATGGTAAAGGAAGAGTTTCCAAAACTGCCTCTTGGGGATTGGCAGAAGTCTGGGAGATTCTGACAAGGAATATTTTTCTGTTCCTTCTTTTCACAGGTGTGTTTCATGTGCCTCAAGAAGGTATGGCCATCATGGGTTTATAATCATTGGTAAATTTGTAAATTTGGCAAAATCGTTGGTTCATTTGTTTAGGATCAAACCTCCCTCCAACTTTGGAGAGGACTGTCATCCATTTCTACTATAGAATCCTGAGTTCAATCTTCTCTCTTGTATACTTACTCTATTTCTGGTAGTAAGGAAGTGAATATCTCTTTGTTTCCTTTTACCCGTTAGTGGTCAAAACAATCAGTCTAGACAAGGAGTTTATTACTTGAGGCCTATGAACAAATATTACAGGAACCCTGACTTCCTTAAACGACACACATTTGGTTTGTGTCTATAAACTTCTCTCAGGATTTTCGTAGGAATCTTATTCCAGGGAAGTTAGAACCACTGGGCAATAGTAAATTCCTGCAGTGAAGCCTTAAGTCCAGAGACCTTCTCTAGACCTTGTTATCTAAGTACCTATTTCTGTATTTGGTAGATGTTGGAAAAATGTGCTATAAATGTAAGAAATATCATCTTGGGTTATGCTATGAAGTCATGAGATCCTGCAAACTGAAGCATAAACAGTCCTGTGCTGCTGAGAACATTTATATACTCTCCAAAAAAGGTAATGTGGGGTATAGAGTGATAGGAATCTTACCACCAAGCAGTAGGGCTCTTTGGCCTTTAGATTGAATGGGTGAGTGGGGTGGATGAGGATGAGTGGGCTTGTTCAAAGTGTAACAAGATGTACTTTTCCTTAAGGCAATATTGGCTAATAAAGAGGTTGGAATAAAATTCCTTCTCTGGGTTAGCAATGAATAGAGGGAGGCTATGGGAATTTGAAGGTGGATTATTCCCAGGAATATGGAAAGAGAAAATAAAGCCATTAAAGTTGTTTTCCCTCTTTCACTTCCTCAGGGAAGAGCATGTATCATTATTTAAGACTGTCATGTATGACCAACTGTGAAGATATCAACTTCTTGAGTTTTGAAAAGAGGACAGAGCTCATCTGTTGCAAACATAGTAACTATTGTAACCTGCCAGTGGGAGCCTAGAGCTGATTATCCCCTAGATTTCCCATTTCTTTTTAGTTTACTGCTCCCTTTAATTTCCCCCAAAGTTGTATTTGCTCTCCTGTTCAAACTAATGTTAGGGAAACGAAAGTCAGTGGGGAGTAGAAGAAGCAGTCGTAGGGCAACTGGGCAGCTCAGCCTCACTGATGAGCAAATTTTTGCAAATTCCTTTTTTTCACACCTGGCAGGGAGTTTTTGCTTGCTGATAATGCTGCTTGTCAGTAGGAGGCTCAGAATGATTATCGCTGTATGAAAACACAGATTCTTAGGTGAAAATGATATCCCAACTTTATACTGAGAAGTCTGTCTGTACTCTGTTTTGGTTTACACCCAGTCTTCTGAACTGGAATTCTCTGTCTTCCTGGCATAGTACTTTTGCTCCAAGGTTCTGGAAGTAGGGGACAGCTAACCCTAGCTTCCCAATTTGCTGACAACCTGAGGCAAGCTTTTCTCTGGTAGATGTCATGGAAGAATCTCAGGCCATAAAACAGAAGTAACAGAGAGACGAGACATCAATATTTTAGAGGTAATTTATTAGTGGAAATTATGATGCAAGAAGTAGTTTGGTGTCGATTCATTCGACTTATGTTATCAAGGCTCTGGCTTGAATGGGGTGATGGGACTGGGGATGGAGGCCTTGTTCAAAATTGGCTTCTCAGTTTCTTCCCATGGGAATGAATTAAAAATGAGAATGGTCTTTCATGGTAATTAAAAGTAGCAGAATGTACACAAGGGGGTGAAGTCATGTGTTGTACTTTCTGTTGCTGTGCTAGAACACTGACGAAAAGTAATTTAGAGGGGGAAAGGGCTTATCTGTCTTACTCTTCCAGAGTCCAGTCCATCATCGAGGAAAGTTAGGGCAGCAACTCAAGGCAGGATCTTGAAGCAGAATCCACCGGGAAATACTGCTTGCTGGCTTGCTCACTGGCTTAGGCTTAGCTTTCTTGTACAACCCAGGACCACCTGTCTAGGGATGGCATCATTCACAGTGGATGGGCCCTCCCACATCAATAATCAAGACAGTACCCCACAAACATACCCATGGGCCAATCTAATCTAGGAAATTCCTTAATTGAGGCTCTCCTCTTAGATGACTGGAGGCTGTGTCAGGTTCACAGTTAAAGCTGAGTAGGACATGAGTGGGTGATAATGTGCCCCATCCCATGTAAGACGAAGTATGAACAAACAAATTGTATGAGATAGCAGAAAGGTAACACCAATGAGAAGGGGAGCAGGCAGACATCGAATGAAACAAGAACCAAGGAAAACCAGAGTGGTACAAATATTAGAGCATCGTGCTGGGATCAAGGTGGTTACATCGGGTAACCATGTTTCTCTGGTTAAGAAATCCACTGCAGTTCCTGGTCCTGGATTCCCATGAGTTTTTTCACCCCTATTATGCCACGTGAAAATCTTAAATAATGAATTGCTTTACTAGAGTAGTTAAGTGTACCTCCTGCCTTTGTCTTGTGTCTCAGAATATAATTCTTTCTAAGGAATTCCCAATTTAGATTCTACAGTTAGAATGAACAAAAAACGTAAAGACAACTTTTCAAAGTAGACAACTGGGTTATAAAAGCCAATGTTACATGAATATTTGAGTTTTTGTCATGGGATTTTGATGTATGCGGGCTCTTACCTCTCAAAGCATGAGGATGGCAGAGGTCAGTGTAGGAAAAAGAATAAGAACACTGTTTAGCTTTGAGTTTCAAAATAGTCTTTAAAAATATTAATTAAATATTTAAATTTAAGTATTTAATTTAAATATTTAATTTAATATTTAATTTTAAATGTAAATATTTAAATAAAAATATTTAAAAATATTCCTGAATCAAGGTTTAACAAAACCAAATTTGGGCTTTGTTGAGCAAGAAAAGAGTTCTATCTATAAACTCGTTCCTTTTCTTCCCCATGAATTCTGAGCCTCAGATCATGGACTTTATCTCATGACTGGTTGGTTGTGATTTGATTTTGTGATGCCTACTCAATTTTTTTCCTGATCAGTGTATCCAGATGCATGAACTTTTGGGTTGTGACAACTCTGTTATTCCCTAGAAATATGCTAAATAGGATTTACTTTGCCCAAGGCTGAATTCCCAGTCCAATATTGGGCATATCAAAGGGACACAGGAGCAGACAGACATTTATCAATGGTGCAAAATGAGCAATTGAACAGTGAAATAAATATACTCAAAGAATCAAATACTCATGTGGTCAAGTAATAAGATAAATGAAAAATTTAAAAACAAGAGAAAATGGACAAGTAGGTCATGCAGAAAAATTTCAGATTATTGATATAGAAGACTCTGTTATCAACCTAAGGCCACATGTTTTTTGCAATTTATAGTGTTGATAAGTCATTGCTTTCAACTTGTTTCCAAGGTCACTGCTTTCAGTAATGATATTTTTACAACATACACACACATACACAATTGTTCTTGGCTAGGGTCAAGGATGGGTAATAAAAGAGAAATAGGGAATGTAGTTTGAGATTAAAATTATGTGTTTATCTCATAAAAGTTGATTACAGGAGGAATTCAAGACCAAGTAAGATTGTTTACATTGTTTTCCTAAAGGATAAATTTAAATAAGATGATCACACCATAGAAGTCTGATTGAATAGGCAGAGTTAAATGATCTTTAAAATATTAACTTTGGTTACAAGATTAGGTAGAAAGATGAAGTATTACCAGAAAAGCCATTCCCACAACTATACTCTCAACCAAATTTAACTAGAACAATTTTAAGTGTGGGCAGAAAAAAAAAGTAGCTTAGGAAGAAGGGGTGACAAGGATTGGATGGAGACCACAGTGATAAACCTGACAAGCGACTTCAGACCAAGTCAAGTTGTGTAATCAGTTGTGGTGATAGTTCTTATGACATAATTTTAAGAAATGATATTTACTTACTCTTCCTCCCAAGAATACACAACTCCAGAGTCACTATGAGAAAGCTATCAGAAAACCACAAAATATCTGATCAATAGTCCTCAACACTGTCAAGGTCATGGGAAACAAGGGATGTCCTAAGAACCATGATGGTCTCAAACTTTCTAAAGAGACATGACAACTTAATCTTAGATGGTATTCTGAACAGAAAAGGAATAGTAGGTGTGATGTTGCTAAATGGAATATTTAAGGAAAATATGGATTTTAATCTTTGTCTTTTCCTTCTGTCTCTACCAGCAAATTTTAGCTGACAAGTTTGTGGTTGGAACTCTAACACAGCTAGTTAGTATTAGGGTTCCAAACCATAGCAGCCCTCCTCATCTCCAACAGGGCCTCATGGACCTCGAAAGCCCCTGAGAAAAGGGAACCGAGTTGATAAGCACCCTGGTCTTTGAAGTCAAGGGAAGCAGACTCTTCTAAAAGGCAGCCTGCCTTTCCTTTGCTCTCCAAAGACAAGATAAACAGATTCCACCTTTTAACCAGAGACTTCAGGAGCCACTTTAGCACAGCTGTTTTTCCTTTATCTTAAGGGGACAAAAATAAACACATCCTGACCCAGATCATGGCTGGCAGACGGAAGGGAGCTGGTTTTATAAGCCCCACTTTCCTGCCCCCCCAATTTTTTCCAAACACTTCCCGCCTTCTGCACCTTGAAGCCCCCTTATAAAAGCCCCAGCTCACAATCCGTGGGCTGACATTTTCCCTTCCCCAAAGGGAACCTGTCCTGTGTGAAATAAAACTATCCCACTGAGAGTTTTACCTGTGTCTTGGTGCTTTTCTCCGGATCAACCCTATCCGTTCTCTGGCTACTTTCACCTATCAGATGGTGCCAAAATCCAGTTCTTACTTTGAGGGATCTCACACGTGAAACACCTCTACTGGACCCGCTTGCCATTATTGGCCTCTACAAACACCACTGATTCGACTTCAAGGTACACTCCCACCCTTCCTTTCTCTCTCCTCTCCTCTCTGTCTCTCTCCTTTCCCTTCACTTCTTTCTGGCTCTCCTCCATTTTCTTTTCATCTCCTTTCCCATCAAATTCGGTCACTCCCAGATCTCACTCAAGGCCACTGGACTGCACTGGTTTATGCAGCCGTTGGTGTCCAGCGTGGACACTGTGCTGCCCACGCCCACCTGGGAGTTGGACCTGCCTCCCACACTCAAATCTTTTCCCTACCTCAGCTCCCTTCCCTTCCCTTTCCTTGCTCCTTGCTCCTGCCACCTCTTGCCTTCCCCTGACATCTTGCCTTCCTTTTCACTCCCCCCACCCCGTTTTGTGTTCCCCCATTCACTGGCTACTCTAAGTTCCATCTCTGCCCACTGCCTTCTCGGTTCCCATTCTGTCTCTACCAGCTGGCCCACTACCTCCTTTCCTTGTACTTTGGCTCCAGCTACGGGGTGGTCCCACACCATGTTACAGAGTTTCCCACTGGTCTCACTCGCCTCAAAATCATACTAGTATGTCGGGAACCTCTTTCTTGTCTCTGGATACAGGAAGCTGTTTCCAGTGATAGGAACATGCACAACACCTTCTCGTATTTCTCCTCCCCAGTGAGGGGATGCTGCCCTTGGGGTTTTGGGAATTAAAACTTGAAAACAATAACTCAAACCCACACAACATAAAAAATGATGCTTTCTTTTGTTGCCTAGTTCTTCTCATTCTCGTTTTATGTGACCTAGGCCAAACCTTTCTCCTCCTACACTCTCTCCCCGTCTCACTCCCTTGTACACTACTCTTTCCTGCCCCAACTCCTGATCCCGCCTCTGCTCCCTCTGGACAAAAGATTCTCTTTGTTCCCCTATCCACCTGCTGAGATCTTTCTCTATCTCCTCTTTTCTCTGTATGTAATCTGTTTCTATGGGAACCACCCACTCAAAGTCTCTGGGTCTCACACCTCTTGCTTGTCTTCTTAAATCCTTGAAACAACTAGGACAATCAGGCCAAAACGCCTAAAATTCCTGTGTACTACTTCCTGGCCTCAGTACAAGTTAGATAATAACTCTGTTTGGCCAGACACCAGAACCTTAAACTT